TAAACAAAAATGTGATTTGCAACATCTAGTTATGTCGCGACTGGGATCACGAGAACATAAGTGTAATGTGTAAATTTTTTGTAAAATCTATATTTTGTTATCTGGTGCTGGCACTGTCGTCTTTATGCTCCCAAAACTCTCAAAACGAGCTAAAATTTTTCTAACATAAGTCCGAAAGAGAAGGCTCTCTCATAGCACTTTTCCGTCTGCTTCCATTACGAACATCGCGTGTATCGCTCACCATATCCGTCTGACGGCTGAGAGAGTTTTTGGAATGGAGAGGATGGAGAGACAGAGAGAACGACAAANTTAACACTATACAATGCAACAGAATTATTAGTGATTACGTATGCTCAGAAAGCATCGTTCAATTGATTCACGAAGATTACAGCAATCCGTCACAGTGAAGGAATCTGTTTTACAGAAATCGGTTATAGTAAAGAAGAAATTATTAAGGACCTCGGGGTCTGGTTTTATGGTTTTAAATATACAATCTGAGCCTTAGGTAACAGAAATGTGATCAATCCTTTCACAAGTTACTATTATATAAAGCTCTCGGAAACTATGGAAACATCAATTTTCGTGGGACGTTATGGAGCAACTTCGTGGATTCACTTTTAGCGACGTTCTTACCAGATGCGCTATGGACGACGAGGAGTTCGAAGAATGGCTTGTATCACTTGGTTTGATGCGGGAATGGGCCTGGACGTATGGTCGAAATCGACGAGACCGTGTTGATTCGACGGAAGTACAACGTCGGAAGAGTAACGGATCAACAGTGGATATTCGGTGGAGTGGAAAGGAACACCAATCGGTGTTTCATGGTGCCGGTCGAAAGAGGGAACGCTGATACCCTTCTAGCGATTATCATCGATAAAGTTTTGCCGGGTACCACCATTATGTCCGATCTATGGTCGGCATATGGTGGTATCAAAAAATTGCCAGTCAAGTATCACCATGAGACGGTTAACCATTCACAGCATTCTGTAGATCCGAACACTGGGATATGTACAAACGGAGTGGAGTCGATGTGGCAAAAGTTCAAAATGAAGCACAAATCGAGGTTCGGCATCGATCGCGGTTTATTGGCGAGCTATGTGGAAGAATTCGTTTGGAAAAGAGAATTTGGAGGGGAACATTGCTTATACAACTTGTGGAAGCAAATCGCAGATATGTACCCCATATAAAATGGGGCGAGAACGCCAAACCTTAAACCAAACGGTCCTCTTTAGGGCCACCAAAATCATAGACCAAAACTCATGTCATAATGTTCACCTTAATGCATTCACCACGAGAAATAATGCAGCTGAGTAGACGCGAAATGAAAATGTAGTACGACACAAATGAGAGAGAGGGCGAGACGAAATACAACAAAACAGAGATGCGATGTAATCGATGGACGCAGACAGTGGCCTTCATATGAGAGATCTTGGACTTGGAAAAATTTTTGCTCGATGTTAACGTTTCGGGAGCAAAACAGCAACATTACCCCGGTGCCTTAGTCGTTTATTGTCCTTATCATATTCCTTCAATCAGATTACAATTTGTGTAAGTCTTTATGTCCTTTATCTAAAAGCACGTATGTTATAATATGTTGTAATGAACATTCGCATGATATCATAGCTCCAATTTGATTGATATATAAGAATGTATGCGTCTTCTATCAAACTCATTTAATCTTATGTAGCCAGTGCTTCATAATATTCGTTATGTTTCCAGTCTCCTTTGATTACGTTTGATTGAATTTGTTTTTTAGATTTGTTTAATTTGTTTAGTTCGTTCGAGTATATGTCTAATTACGTGAAAATCGCATTTATGTGCTTTAATTACCCAAGTTTGAGGTTGCCAACTGGGTAATTATTGAAGCAGTGGATTTTGTGAAGTGCGAATGACCGAGGTGAAAGTTGGGAAAAATCAGTAGTATTATTGTTGTTGTATTGCGGTATTATTGATATTATAGGATTTTCGGAGCGAAATAACCTCAAGCTTGTTGCCGTTGAATTGATTGATTATTGGTACTATTCAACACTATCGTCATCTTCAATCTGACATATTGTTACTGTAATGCTTGCTTCGCAGAATAAATTCTTAAAGAAAAAGTAAATTCTGCCTGAC